GCTGATAAGTTGCAGTTGCTCAATAAGCTAAAGTAGTACTTGTTATTCGAATCTTTATGCAGTGATACTTGTTGTAACAAGTTGTTTATTTTATGTCTTTTACGCCCTAAATTCATGAAAGAAATGTTGAATAGAAGTGAATTATTGGAAAAGCTAACGGAAATAAGTGAAGAGTGCTCCAATGTAGAATCAGATGCAACAATTCTGAACTATCATCTGAAGATGAAGCGGATTATATTCAAAGTGAAACAACTGACACTGAAGATAGCGATGAAGAGTCGATCACCAATGATGAAAATGAAAGTGTCATCAATGTGCTGCCTCGCGCACGTTTATTCAAAAGAAATTAATCTTTTGAATAATATTTGGAAATGAGTCCGAACGAATGACTCGGAAAGCCGTCCTAAACAGTTGATTTGTAAAAATTACCAAATCCGTAACGAATAGTTTTCGTAAAATTTCTAAGTCCGACTTACAAGGAAAGGCACGCAAGTGTCCCCCTCCGATTTTGATGAAACTTCGTAGGTTTGTTAAGCAGGCAAAAATAAGGGACACGTATTTTTTTTTATCGGCTGAGACGCGGGTTTAAGGGGTGAAACGAGCCCTTAAAGTTTCGACCCCTTTTGGCTATCTCGAAAACCATACGAGATACATTAAGTCTTCTAATAGGAAAGTTGTAAGGTTTCTAGCGTATAATAACAGGATGTTAAGGAATTTTGCAAAATACAATTTGTTTATAACAAAAAGTTTTTCATAACCCTATTTTACAATTTATTCAAATTTGTATAATGACAAAAACTGTAGGGAATTTTATTACAAATCCATTGGTATATATATATATATATATATATATATACGAGTATACAGGGTGTCCGCGCCAAAGTGTTACAGCGTGATATCTCATGAACTATTGATGTCACGAAAAAGTGCTTATATGGAAATTGCAGGGTAAAAGAGGCCCTATGTTTTGGCAGAAGCAAAATTTTTTTATTGTTATTAATGTAAAAGATATGATGGTGAAGTTTCGTTTTTTTAAATGGAACTATAATTTTTTCTCGATCAGGCGATAGTGCTTTTCAAGACGAATTCATCAAGGTTTTATGTACTTACCCGATTTTTATTAGTTTTCGAGATATAACGCTTAGAAATTTACTGATTTTCAGCAGTGACATCTCGGTTTGACGAGTAAGTCATAAAAACGTTCTTATTGTTACGGTAAGTGCCGCTGGTTTGACTCTGCCTGCCGAAACAGATAGGCGGGGTGTATGGTCAAAATGGCAGGTCCGAAGAGTAAGAAACGTGAAAAGTATTGTCCATTACGGTTTAAGTTTTCCGTATCGAAGATGATATTAATTGTAATTTGGAAGATTGGGACATTTATTTAAATGTTTCAGTACAAGGTAGGTATAAAGACAATTTAACAAAAAATAATATGCAAAAAATTTATTTCACATGCTTTCCGCTATTTGAAATACAAGTTTGTATACGTTTTACAAATTCGTTCTCGACGTTTTCCATAATTTCGCACGGGATATTTACGCATGCATTGTGTATTCTATTTTTCAAGTCAGTTATATTGTTAAATTGTCTTTATACCTACCTTGTACTGAAACATTTAAATAAATGTCCCAACCTTCCAAATTACAATTAATATCATCTTCGATACGGAAAACTTAAACCGTAATGGACAATACTTTTCACGTTTCTTACTCTTCGGACCTGCCATTTTGACCATACACCCCGCCTATCTGTTTCGGCAGGCAGAGTCAAACCAGCGGCACTTACCGTAACAATAAGAACGTTTTTATGACTTACTCGTCAAACCGAGATGTCACTGCTGAAAATCAGTAAATTTCTAAGCGTTATATCTCGAAAACTAATAAAAATCGGGTAAGTACATAAAACCTTGATGAATTCGTCTTGAAAAGCACTATCGCCTGATCGAGAAAAAATTATAGTTCCATTTAAAAAAACGAAACTTCACCATCATATCTTTTACATTAATAACAATAAAAAAATTTTGCTTCTGCCAAAACATAGGGCCTCTTTTACCCTGCAATTTCCATATAAGCACTTTTTCGTGACATCAATAGTTCATGAGATATTAAGGTGTAACACTTTGGCGCGGACACCCTGTATATTCGTATATATATATATATATATATATATATACCAATGGATTTGTAATAAAATTCCCTACAGTTTTTGTCATTATACAAATTTGAATAAATTGTAAAATAGGGTTATGAAAAACTTTTTGTTATAAACAAATTGTATTTTGCAAAATTCCTTAACATCCTGTTATTATACGCTAGAAACCTTACAACTTTCCTATTAGAAGACTTAATGTATCTCGTATGGTTTTCGAGATAGCCAAAAGGGGTCGAAACTTTAAGGGCTCGTTTCACCCCTTAAACCCGCGTCTCAGCCGATAAAAAAAAATACGTGTCCCTTATTTTTGCCTGCTTAACAAACCTACGAAGTTTCATCAAAATCGGAGGGGGACACTTGCGTGCCTTTCCTTGTAAGTGTCCTAGCCTTTTACAGTAGTTACAAGTCTGTAAATCACGCCTGTCAGTTGGTCTATCTTTACGGTCCTTATTATTAATGACGTTTCGTGGTATATTTTTTGTATCACTTTGCGGTTCAAATTGGCGCTTCATCGTTTCGCGAGTCATTTATTGTAATTCGGAAGTTTGTGCGATCGCGATAGCCTGTCGCGTATTCCATATGTAGCCCTAATAGGAATTTGCGGAGTCCCTGTTTCCTTTAGTATTCGGCATATGTTATTTTGTTTTCTACTGATTCCTCTGAATTTACCGTATAGCTTAGTACTTTATTCTAAATTTTCAAAAATCGATTAGCATATTGCGTTATAGTCTCATTTCGATTTTGAAAGCATCGCGACCTACTATTTTGCCATACTTCGACGAGTTGCGTACTAACGTATTATACATTAATTGAAGTGCTTCGAAGAATTCATTGTACGTGTTCGTGGTGTACGCTTCTATTTCGCGCACTACCGTACTTATTATTCTTTTCGCTTTTATTAAACGGAGGAAATAATTTTGTTTCTTGCGTGGTACTAATCTTCTTACTTCGTCGATTTCGGCTATAAATGCCTCTAAACTTTGTGATTTTCCGTCGAAGTCTCGTATTACTTCAATGGCTTCTTTAGGTGTTTGAATCTCTTCATCGTCGGTTGTGACCGATGGATGTCTACTACTTTTAGTCTCTCTAGCTACTTCTGTTATTGCTTCTACTGCATTGTGTATTTCGCCTAGATCAAGGTTATTGGTTGCCATTTTGTATAAGTAGTAAATTGGAACGTACTTACAGTTGCTTTTCCTAGTGGTTGTTCCTCCGTTATGTTTACGGGGTAGTTAGTATCTGTTGTTTCTGGTCAGCTACTTGTATTTCCTCTCGTGGCGATACTGGAATAATCCCACCGCTGCCACCAATTTTATTAATGTCACGTCCTCAATGAAAAACACAGTTTTTTATAAAGAAATGATTTACGTTGAAAACACTTCAACGACAAATACCACTTTTTATTTATTAATTATTTTTAAAATTTCTACTTTAACACACTCCTAATTACAGATACTTAAACTACCGCTAGTCAGTAAATTAATCGGTGTGACTGTTATTTAGCGTATAATTATTATTAGTTGTCGCACCGCTGCGCGTTCGCTCTATTGTATATGTATAATATTAATTTTTAACATATTTTTTAAACAAACAAATTTTTCCAAAAACCACGTACACCATATCATGGGCCTTTCAGAATAAAAAAATTTGCATTTTAAATTTTTTACCTAGAGTTTTCGAGATTTTGTGAAAATAGCTTCTTCAGTCCCAAATTCAAGGGTTATTTTCACAACTTCAAATTGGATATTTAAGTTCTGTAACATATAAAAATTTTATCAAAATCAGCGTATTACTTTTGGGTGATTCCCTTATTAGTATGAATTCTTACATAATATAATATAATTTATACAATTAAATATAATATATATAGGACACATTTGATGTTTATTTTATTCAAAAATAAATTTCCTAGTCTCACTTTGAGTATATTTAATATAACGAGTGTAGCCTTATAGTAATAAAAGTTCAACTATCTCTATGAAGTTCTAAATATTATCACATATCCTTAAAATACTTCGTTACATATTTACTTATCAAAAGTAAGAAAAATTCGTGTGCACCAAAACATTTAAATGCTCGAAATTTGGTAATTATTCTAATAATAAGCCGTTAACTGACAGGATACAAATACTGTTTTAAATCACTATAAATTGATTCCTTAATTAACTGTGCATATACGCAAACAACTTTTGGAATAATAAAGAATAAAATAATTTGTCATAGGAAGCAAATCACATAATAAACGTTATTTTATCCGATGAGCTTTTAAGTAGGAATTTAATGATTGATGACGAATATATGAACACAAATGCTTTTACAGATTGCTTTTACAGATGTTCCATGGGCATCAGTGATAACCGAACATTTTAACAGGATTATGAAAAATGTACGAGATAATGATTGCCTTTATAAATATCTATTAAGAAGCCGAATTTATAATGTCAAAATCGAAAAGTGTCTCGAATGAAGCTATTAATAAGATTTTGGGTAAAAAAGTTTGGCCTTCTCTTATCTCTCAAAATAATGGCAATAACGCGGAAGAATTACGATTAAATCAGATGATCAACCTATCTTCTGAAAGATTACGACGTGAACGCAATTACTCCCGAGATATAGGAGTAAGTGTTTATTAATTTAAAAATTATTTATTTTTACCAGGCAAATAAGTATAATTAACACGTTAAGCGTCATAATAAAAATAAAGTAGAAATACAAACTGTAATTACAATACATTACGAAGAGTCAATTTTCAAATTTGTTTTGAATTTGTTTCTCTTATGTAACATTTAATGTAACGTTTGTTATTCGTATATATACATCATATGTTATTAACTTGATCAGCTAATATGCTTTTGCCCCAAGCTATGTGTTTACGGAAGTTTTACATTTGATCTTTCAAATCTCCAACTTTATTATTAAATTTCCAAATTTAAATATTACCATTTTTATACTTAAAAATATAGAAAATTTTAAACCTTCAAAAACTCGAATTCAGAAATTTTCAACTTGAATGTTTTTCATATTTTTTAATTTACAAACTTTTAAATTTTTGAGTGCAAAAATGTGAAAATATACAAAATCACAAATTTCTTAGTTAAAGAATTTAAAAATATATAAAATTATAAATTTAAAAACTAAAAATTTATCAATGGTTACAGGCAATCCATAACGATACGAAGAAGAACATCAGATGTACTTGTCGTTAAAGTAATCTAACAGCATTGAAAATAATCTGAGTTTTTGCACCAAGTCCTGTAATCTCAGGGAAGGTTTTGAGTTTAATAATATTCTTCAAAACTTTTTTCTCTTTTCTGCTATTAATCATTTCATCATGTATACCTTAAAGAGACATTGAATACTAATGAAGTTCACGACAGTTAACGTGTTAATTATTGTATTTATTTTGTCACTATGTAAATTACATGCATATCATGTTAACTTTATGTTAACTTTTTGTTCACAGGTCACAGAAAGTTTTTATTGCGCAATTGGCCCTATTTTAAGCATCGCTCAACTATTTGGTGTATTTCCAGTAGCAGGAATTCGATCGTCATCACCTTCAAAACTTCGGTTTAAGCCACTTTCGTTTCTTGTCATTTATTCAGTTTTCGTTATTATAATGCTACTTTTTACAACAATCATATCAGTGATTCATACGTTTAAGGTTTTAAATGCTGAAACATTTCAAAGAGATGGTAAGTAATATTACTCTGTTGGACACTATTTATATATCTATGAATGAACAATTTGAATTAACATAAAAATTTATGAAACTCTTTGTTTAATCAGAGTTTCTTTATATTACTCGTATTCGTTGTTAGAATATATTTATACTTTATTTTTTACTTTCTTTATAAATTATTTTGTAGAAAAAATATGAAAATAAATTAAAACTTGTTTATCACAAAGAAAATAGTCTTTATCTTTTGCAGTTTGTGGTACTCGTACGATTATTACACTCTAAACAAAAATTTGTATCAAAGATTATGCTCGCGTTGTTAGTTAAGAAATGTTTTGTTTAATCCATTCATAACGTTATCAGGTTTTAAAAAATACAGTAAAAATATAGTACAAACATCGAATAAAATTCATTCATTAGGATTAATTTAATTTCGTTAAATTAAGTTACACCTATATTTTGTATTTATCACTTTTATTTTTAATTATATATTTATGTGGATATCAATATTTATTACGTCTTTGATATTTCAATGTGGCAGTTGTGCAAATCATCAATATAGCTTTGTCGTGATCGTTCGCCATTCGTTATAAATGGGTTAACTTGTTAATACTACAGATATCTACATACTACTAAAAATTTACTACATATCTTTTTAAAATGAATAATCTTACTTAATGAAATCTTCGTGAATGGACTTTGTTACGTTGAAAGCTTTGAGAATCATAAACGAAGCTACGCCAGCAGGGCTAAAAAAAAAGAAGGAAATACAAATTTTAAAGTTATGAGACAATTATTTTGCAAAATAATAATATGAGTTACTGAAAAAAGTAAAACTATCTGCGTATAAATAGTGCCAAAATTTTTATATTTTTATTTCATAATATTTGTAAAGTTTTTATTAAACCGATTATTAATGATTACTAAAAATATTTAAAATAAATACTAAATGAATACTTCGTTTTCGATTCTTACACTCATTTATACAGGGTCTGGCCGGAGGGGTGGTACAACCAAACTGGAGATGATTATCTGTGTAAAAATAAATCGGAAAAAAAGAATAACATTTTTTCGTTTAACGCTTCGTTTTCGAGACAATCGAATTTGGAAATTCTATTCAGTACGCGTGCACTGCACTGTCTGTCTAGCAAGTCATTGTTCGCTATAAGTTTTGTTATGCATTCTAAGGTTGACGTTTCTAATGTTTACATCTTTTTTTTAACCATATCACTTTCTTCTACTTTTATTCTGCTTTTATCAGGCGAGCTGTGACAATGTCTAGTTTCAATAACCGCAAATATGTCGATATGATAAAAGATTTTATCAATCTTTATAGGAAACAACTTTCAAATCGTCGGATAAAAGAATGATACACAGGGAAGATCAAACATTAATTGAATGTGGTTCTTTTCACAATTACCATAAATCTGGTAGCAGTAGAAGATCCCTAAATTTAGAAACAGAAGTTGTTAATACCGTTGCTAATAATCCTAACATAAGTTATGAAAACTTAGTGCGCATCATAATACCAGTACCCGAACTATTAGTCATAATAAATAATATCAACATTAATATTAACATTTCTTATTTATAATACATATTTAAACTTAAGGCTGGTATAGCTCACGCATGCTGGATAGAATTTTCGAACTTGATTCTCTCGAAAATGAAGCGATAAACGAAAAAATGTTATTCTTTTTTTTTTGACTTATTTTTATATGTAATATCACGTCCTGCTCGGTTGTACCACCCGTCTGGCCACACTCTGTATACACGGTGTCCCATGCGCAGTAAATCCTCCCACAGTGCAAAATGTCTCTTCCTGCACCTATCGCTCGAGCTAGACAAAATGTTAATACGGCAGTATAATTTTTTAATTTTTACTTTTTTTTACTACATTTTTATATATACTTTTTTTAATTAAACTAAATTATTTTTTAGCAATGTTGGCCATAAAAGCCTATGTTCCTTGCGTTTATTAAAATTTTGTACGTACAAAAATTCTCTATTTAAAGACGATAACAATTTTAAAACAAAAGCTTCCAATTATCTCCTTTAATTCCGCAGATATTCCCAAAAGTATGATTACAGCCCTTAACTTTGAGAGCTATTTTCATTCCTTCAATGTGAACGATGGCCGATAAAAAAATACGTGTCATATATTTTCTTGAGAACTATCTTTCACATAAGTTTCATTAAAATCGGTGTGTCCCGGTTCGATATGTGTCCTTGCTAGATTGGCGAACCAGCGACAGCTCGCTTTTGCCGCCGCCGACAAAGGCGAGTCGTGGCGAGTAAAGGACAGCCCCTGGGTTTCAATTTTCAATTGGGTTTCAATTGCATTGTGAGAAGTATTACTGTATATTTTTAATACAAAAGCATTAACGATAAAGAAAATTTCTATCCATTTTAGCATAGAGAACCTGGAGTTTTCAGGTTGTGGATTATTTTTGAGACATCCTAAAATATACTGTGTAATATAATTTCATCATATGGTGTTGCAAACAAGTAACAAAGAATAATATTCCCACAAAGTCCATGTATTTTGTTAAACTTAAATAAATAGCAAAGGATATAGCTAAATAAGGAGGTCAAAAATGCCTTTAGATCAAATTAATTAATGAAAGTGTTAGTTAATAGATCGTTAGAAGGAAAAAATTGTTACCAAGTATAAAGCTGCTACTCCTACTTGAAAGGTAATTACAAAGTGAAACATAATTTGCAGTTTAAGCTTTATATCTTTTGTTGTCCCGTACGGAAAATTTTGAAAAAAATCAAGGATATTTCGCTCTATGACGTACGTTGCGTTTCGTCCTGTAAGTACTTTTCAAGTAGAGGTATCGGTTTGATACTTGGCAAAAATGATATCCTTCAACGATCAATTAAGTAATATATTCATTGATAAATTTGGTCTAAAGGCATGTTTAATCCCTTTATCCGACTATACCATTTTATAACTAACGAACGTGTTTAAAATTTCTCTTATCTTTTGTAATCACAAATTTTTGTTATACATTTTCGAAACATTGCAAATTTACAATTTTATATAATTTCTTCTTGGATTAATTGATTGGTTAGATAAATTTATTCGTTTCTTGTTATTTTGCTATTAGTCTTATTCATGAAAATTCAAAAATACATGTTCAAACATTAGCAAATCATGTGACGAAACTCCAAAGCATTATTAAATAACCGAAAAATTACCAATGTTTGCAATGTAGTTTTAGGCTTATTTTAAGTGGCGAAATTTCTATCTTGCGACTTTGTAGTTAGATTTTTTAAAGACACTTTTTTGTTATTAATCGGAGAAGATAACTAAAATTTGTTTTTTTTCAAGTTTTACAAATTTTAATTCCATGAAGTTTGCGTTGATTGCATCGCAATAGTCGAATTTAAAATTTGAATTGTATAAGTAAATACAATAAATGAAATAATATTGACAAAAAAGTCAGTTGTACAGCCATCATTTTTAATATAATATTCATACAAAGTAAGTAAAGTATGCCAATAATACAAAATAAGAAATAAATTAGTACTTTTCGAGTCAATCATTCTATGTAAAGTATTGATGGAGAATGCACCTGTCTCTGTTTTAAGGCTTCATTTTAGAAGTTATACGATAAATCAGTTTCATTCGTCCTAATGTAAAATCCTATTATATCCTTCTTTAATATTTAATTTGATTAAAAAAATTTTGCATAACTTTCTCACGTCATAATTAATAATGTACTCTTAGCAAATGCTTTTTCTATATTTTACACATATGTATGACGTTATGATTATAAATTGAATTATTTACGTATAAGTACGTTTATTTTGTTTAAAATTTCACTAGTGTATAGATATTACTATTTATGTTCCATTGAATTTTTAAAAGATTTCATAATATAGTGATTTTTCGGTATAACTGCTTTAACAATTTTTGTTCCAATGTGATTTAATGTGAACTTATCAGAAGGCAAGTTACATCTTTACAAATCAAAAGTTGACATATTATTTTTCCTCTACATTTTATTACACATTGAATCATCAATTTCTTTACAACTGTTTCATATTTTGTCGCTTTTGGTAATACACAAATTAAATTTATCGGTTTGTTAGTTAAAATTCTGACTCGTGCTACTAAAATGTTGCTTTTTATTTAGAATGGAGTATAATCGTTCTTTTTCAGTATCTTTCATGCAACTACAGTGTATCAATTGATTCGAGGAATAACTGTATTTTTTAATAAACCGTTTTCGTGTAAAACAAAATTTTATTTATACATATCGTGACAGCTGAACAAAGATTTGAATAATGTATAATATAAATTATTGCTTTATAGTATAAAATAATTAAAATATAATCATTTTATAATGTAAAATAATTTTATAGCATAAAATGATATAGTTCATAAATCATTGATACGGCGAATAAAATTACCGTATGTGCCACCTTTTGCATACGAGTTATAGATTCGCGACTACTTTTTTACAATATGTCCCGTATCTTAGTGCACCTGTTAATATTCTGAATGAAATAATATTTCGATCGATAGTTATAGGGGACGAAATGGAACTTTACTGAACACCTATGTATTTTGCAATTTTTTTCTTTGCTCGTGTCACATGCGATAAAGAATGACAAGATAAAATGAATGACATAATATTATATTTCAGGTGGCATAGGAGCAGCAACAGTTGGTGCAGTATTCTATGGGAACAGTCTGCTGGGCACAATTTTATTTTTCTGGCTGTCATTCCGTTGGAGATCTCTTCAATGCGAATGGAGAGCTATGGAACGATATATAGACAGGTCGATATCACAATTGTTTCTGAGTACAAAACATGGTGCTAATCGCGTTGTTTGCGGTATATCAGTGTACACGCAAGCATAGGTGCCTACCAATCATCGTTGTATTTGAAAGCTAGGATAATTAGTTTACTTTGGTGTGAACGCGACAATACATCGTAAATTGCGACCTCTTTTTTACAGTATTACATCATTTATTGTATAGCTGCTTAATCACTCATAAAGTAAATGTTCCCATCCCATTCCATAATGAAAGGTGTGGCAGAAAAGTAATAAGACTGATGATTTAAACTAGAAATTTTATTTTTTTTATAGATCAAAGTTGTTTCCTTCAAAATAGTTCCCTTGTGCATATGCACACCGACGAAGGTGTTGTTTTTATTTTTCGCGTTAGTGATGAGGGTTTTTGGCACGCCTCCCAACTTACTGGTTACGCTCTTCTGGATACTATCTAAAATTCACAAGAAATTGATAAAATTCAGAAATTCACAATCAAACTTTTTATAAAGAGGTTCTTAGAAGGCTCAGGTAGGGTGCCTCGCATGCTACCACGCATTATATGCGGTACTATTGTACCACAACAATGTTTAACAACACTTCGCAATTTCCTAATTAAATTTTAGATAGAAATTTCCAGTCTTCCCATTCGTTGTAAATCACAGTTGTTGTAACTCATTTTTATTTCTTTCACACAAAATAGCTTGAAAAGACACAATTTTGGTAGTTTGAATAACATTTAGAAAAATGTAACCCATGGCTACAAAACTTGTCAGTATGAGAAGTGAAAACTTGGTTAGTAATTACTTAAGGGAATTAATTTGAATGGGATTTGTTTGGGATTTGGATTATTTGTCTACCTTAAAAGTATAAGAAGTGTCCGGAAAGACATAACAATTTTTGGTAATATAACATTGCAAAATTTACTTTCCGATTTATTTTTCTTATATCCTTATTAATTGTGATAAAAAATGGATTTAATTACTGCAGAAAGAAAGACTTACACTTGACAATTTCTTATATTGATTTAAAAAAATTAGTGACCACTTTTCAAATTTTCTTTCCGTTTCTACAAAATATATATTCTATAAAATATGTCTTATCTGTAATATCTTTCATTCGTGACAAATTGTGTAAGAAGCACGTTTCTTACTTTCTGCCATTTAGTTATCCCTAGTCAAGTTAAAACTTGATACAAATTATCTTTTTAACCGACTTCGAAAAAGGAGGAGGTTACTCAATTCGATCAGTATATTTTTTTTTCTGGATGGACCGATCGGAACGAAACCTTTTGCATCTGGTAGGTTCTGACTCCCCATTGGTACCATTACCAAAAATTTTTTCATTTTTTAGTTACAAAGGATTATTGTTGCAAAAAGAATTGAAAAACGAATATCCATGTTGTCTTTTACTTAATTATGCTCATGGCATTTAAGCAGACAAAAAAAAAAGCCCGGAAGAACTGTCTCTCAGTATCCTATACAATTCTCCCCATTCCACTAAAAAGCGTGAAATAAAATAATTTTAAGAAAAAAAAATACACCGACTTCGAAATGCACTAAAAAGTATAAAATAATTTCTATTTCCTAATGAAGTAATTTCTATTTC